TTTTTTTTTTTTTTTTTTTTTTTTTTTTTTAACTACATTCCTTATCGAAGTTACTCCGAGCTGAAGCGATACGCAAATTACTCAAGCGTTTGCACACCGTTCGACGCAATTTCTCGCTGCAACGATGGAAACGAGTTTGTTGTTTGCACGAGTAGCACGGCGAACGGTTACCAAACAGCATCGACGATTTAAAAAAGAGCAGGGGAAAGAGAATAGAAGAAGAAAAAAAAAAATAGGAGAGAAAGAGAGCAGAGGCAGCCCCGAAGGGTGGAAAAAAGAAAGGTTGATCGATGGTACTCAACCTAAAAATTCCGGGCGGGATACCATCGTTCGAAAATTCGAGCCGATGATTTATCATCGTCAATGGCAACGCGACCGCAAGAAGTATCACTTAATCTCGCAAATGTCAAATTCTCCTCTCCGCAACATTTTCAGATTCAATCTCTCAAGCTTACTGTCTGAATTCGCGCGGTGAAGAGGAGAGGAGAGGGAAGAGAAGGGGAGGGGAGGGGAAGAGAAAAAAAGAAAGATATATACAAAAGAGGAAGAGGACACCCGGATAATACGCTTACGACAAAGCACCATTACGTCATATTTCCCCAGATACCGGAGTAATCAATTTTCACCCGTCGCCGAAAAACAATCGACCGGTCCCCCGAAGTGTCTCTCGGCGTTGTTTCGGGGCGTTGAACATTCGACGCGCAGGTCTCAGGTACTCCAGGATTCGATACAATCACGATCCTGTCGAACCCCCGTCCCCGAATCGTCGAAGAAGAGAAAGAAAAAAAAAAAAGAAAAGGGAGGAGGGATGGTGGTGTTTGCGGGCTCGTGCCTCATCCCCCCTCCCAACTTCCCTTTCTTCGTTTCACCTTTTCCACGGTCCCTCGACGTTTTTCCACCCCCCGTAATCCCAGTCCCAGGAATTATCTTTTTTTTTTTTTTTCTACACCCTTTCAGCTACCCGTCTCTCACTTTCACCTTCTTTTGTTATAGATTACGGGCCGTTCGAGACTCGTTGTAGACTTACAGGAGGAAGGAAGAAATCGGCGACGATACGGATAAGTTGATCTTATTAATTATTAATAATAATAATAATAATGATAATAATAATAATTACGCGTGAAAAGGAGAATCCCGTTCTCCAGATTTTTATTTACAATTGTTGGAAAGCATTATCCGATTCGATCGTTAATTCTCGACGGACGAAAGTTGAAAACGATTCGTGTCCAGCTCGGAAGTCTCTGGTACCGGTGTTCGTTATCCATTGGTCCGACACGCGATGGAAGTCGGGACACGAGGTAATTTCCACGCGTGGAAACTCTCGACATTCGGGGATGGGTGAGGCGTGCACGCGCCAACTAAACAGGAGGATCGGACATCCGACGAAAAAAAAAAAAAAGGGAAAAAAAGAGAGAAAAAAAAGAAAAAAAGGAAGAGGAGAGGAAACGAGAAAAAAAAACGAAGAGAGAAATCGTTGAACACCGCGTGGAAGGATCAATTTTACACGGTGCGGTCAGAGAGAAACGTAGCTGAAATCGTACTTGTCGTCTTTCGATAGATCCACCACGATCACAACCTTTCGAACGATCGTTTCACCGATTTCGCATCCGTTTAATCTCCCTTGATTACGTTCGACGCAACGCATCCCTGTCCAATTTCATCCATTGAAAACCGTTCTCTCCTCGTCGAAAAAAAAAGAACAAGACGATTGCGTTGCGTACGTGGAACGATTTCGATTTCGATTTCGAATCGCATCTCTAGCGATCGATTTCTTCGAGAAGAGAAAGATCGGACACGTTAGAACCGATCGATATCTCGTTAAATATTTCGTAATAATCTAGTGGGGAAAGTTTTAAACGAAAGATGCGAACGACTGTGAATTACGAGTGATAAAATATCAGCCGCCCATCGAGCTCTGTTTGTCGATATTTTACCAGTTTAATTGTTTTTCGATAGTCGAGAGCAATTCCGGCTTTTCGCCGCGCGATTGGAGGACACAAGGGATGGCAGAGGTGCAAGCGTTTCGAATCTGGCTATTCGTTACACGGTAAAACGGAATCGCGAGTTAACGATCCAAGATGGCCTTATATACCCCTTTTATTGGCCAAATAATCTCTCGTTTTCTTCTCGAGGAATCGACGATGATTACAAATCGTTAAATTCTGTTACCGATTTAAAAAAGAAAAAAAGAGAGAGGGGGGGGGAGAATTTTGGAGTTTTAAAAATTTAAAATTGCGCTTGAAATTTATCATTGTTCTTTGAATAATAACCGACAAATTGTCTGGTTGACACGAATTTCAAGACAGACAATATTCCTGTCGATTTTTGATGGAAATATCGATACACGTACCACGGCAGATTACTTCGGTAAATTGAATTTTTATCGAAATCGCGTCACTTAACCAAATTTGGGAGTGCACCGCCAGTGGGGTTTAAATCGGCCCAGTTTTTCCTACCTATTCACGCGGATCCATCGAATTTCGGAAGAGTGGGAGAGAGATGGGAAAGAGAGCATTCGTTTGTCGCTGTTTATTCGTTACGGCGAAATTGAATCGTGCGTCAACACAGCAAGATTACAAACATTTTTTATAGGAAACACAATCCTCTCCCTCGTTCGTTTATCAGGTAACAAGGCAAATGACGGTGAAAATTAACTGTCATTTCTCCCTCCCGATTCACGCGAATTACACACATCGAAAATTTGCCCGCCCGTACGAAACGGAGAGAAAGAGAGAAAATTAATTACACGCGTTCCTTGTAATATTCTCATCCGCCGAACAATAACCTCAATTCGTCGAATATTTTATCCCCGTTTTATCGTTTATTTCGCGAAAAATTTCGAAAACATTGTCCGATCCAATTTTTTTTTTTTATATATATATATATATGAAAAAAGAAAAACGTACAGACCAACATCCCGTTGTTATTGCTGTATTTGCTTTGATCGGGATGATCTTTAATTTGAGCAAGAGTGAAAGACGGGAATGCGAAAGATACGCGAAATTTATCGCCGGTGGACGATGCCGCTAACGAATGTGTCCCGCAGGAGTGGAACGGCCGGACAATGCAGTTTTCCAATTTTCACCCAGCCACCCTCGCCGCTCTTCGAATCGCGCCGAGCCTTCGTTCCACCCTCTATGGTCTACCTACCACCTCCGCTCTCTCTCCCTTTATCATCCGCAAACCCGAACAATCATAAAGCATGTTGATTCACGACCCCCGCCGTAAATTTAACGTTATTTCATCCTTACCCTCGCGTCGTTTTAAAACGGATACTCTTCGAGTACTAATCGAGTAATTAAGAAAGAAAAATAATATTTTCGAAGAAATTCAACTTTCGTTCCCCGGACAATCATGATAACTCTCTACATAATTATCGAGTGGATTTCGTTTTTTTATCGGATGAAAGGCGACGCGAAACGAATTAATTCGAACGATTAAATCCCTAATATCGACGATCGGGTTCAATGCGTGAAAGATTAAACGGGACAGGTGATTATTATAGACCATTTATTTAACCTCTCTCGAAAGTTAAATCTCTCGAAAGAGATCTCGCTTCCCCTCGTTTGATTCATTCGAAAGAGCTCACCCCCGCCCCTTCTCTTCCATCTGTGCCCCCTCCCTGTGCCCGAAGCAATTTTACGTGAGATCCCGACTTGAAGTTTTCGGAATTTATAAATGAAAATTCGCCGGAAGCTGGGATCCACCCTTTCCGCCTCGAAATTGGCTGGTTCTCCGAGAAATTTTATATTCAGGACATTACTGCGTGCTGAATTATTTTTCAAGTTCTTCGGACAGCGTCGATGGTGGGTGTAGTTGAAGTAGTAGCCCACCACGCCGCTTGTGGCGGTGGTGGTGGTGGTGGTGGTGGTGGTAACTGTTTCCGGTCGTGAGCCTTGTCATCCAGGTTCTTCAACCCCAACTCTGTACCACCCCCGAATACCCCATTTCACCCTTCCCAGTGTCACTGGCCTGTGCAAGACGACCGAGCAAACTTTTTGCCTGACTTCAACAAATTCGGTTCCCTAACATCCCCCCAAGCAAACCGGTTTTATTGTTACTTCGTGCCGACTAAACTGGGATAGAGGAAGTTTGCGGTCGGTTGGAAGATACCTGTTCAAGAAAATTCTCGAAAAATACTCGAATACCCTAATTCAACGAAACTCGATAGAAAAATTTTCGTAAGATGATCAATGAATGAATGAAAAAACGGATGTGAAGAAAAATATCCGGCAATTTTTTCGTTATAACAATCGATAAAGAAGAAGAAGAGCATAAAGTGAATCGAATTTTTTCGATTCGCCGTCATTTTTGATATTTATGGAAATACGTAACGACATAATCTCGTCCTCCCGATCATCGCTACGCTTTACGAAGTTAAATTAACAATTTGTTCCTAAAATTACAACACTCGAAGAAAGAAATCTTCGTGATTAATGGAACAACTTTTTTTACAAATTAACATAAGAAGACACTTTCGTGACCAACTGTATTCGTACGTTTTTCAACTCCCCCTCCTCCAACGTTTCGTTTCATCGCCGTAAAATTTCACCGCAGAATATCCAAAAAGAAATTCCACGTGTTTTATACGCCCACTCGTTCGACTAATTAAACGCGATTTATTACCGTCCAAGTCGTTTATTCCAGGCATTCAGCTTTGACACGAGCGATCCATAATACTCGAGACGGCGCCACCGTTTTATTAGTATTCAGGGGCCGGCTCGCGTGTTGAAGAATGCGTGTTGAAACGTCACGGGGACATTGTTAAGTAGCAAGGGTGTCGTGAAAAGGACGAGGGGTGTAGCGAGGGAGTGTAAAACCAGGCACCGGACAGGGTTACACAACGTAGTCGACACGCGCGTATTTGACCGAGGGTAAAAAAAAAACGGACCGAGGGTGGTGGCGCGTTTCCCCCATCCCCCTCATCCCTTCGCCACTCCCGTTCGCAATTCACCCCGGACGATCAAATATTTAATCTGTTCGTCACCCCGCCGTTTGCGCGAACCACCCAGGTCCCAGGGTTATTTGTAATTCATAACGCATCAAAGTATTCGGGAACGGTGAAAATCCGTGAACCGTGAAACGATTTTTCAAGCTTTGAGCGGCGAGGATTCGAACGTCGAGATGTTGGTTCGTTTCGAATCGTTGGGGAGGAGAAGGGGGAGAACTTACTCACCTCTCGAATTTTTGCATCAAAGTTAATCTCTGCCTTCTCTTCGTCGGATTTATTTGGGTTCAAGGGAGGGGTGGGTTCGTTTAGGGATATGGTAATAAATAAAGAGCAGAATTGTGCGATTCGAAAAGATTTTATTTTTTTTAGAAATATCTCGTGCAAAGCTTGTTTAATAACGTTCCAAAGGTATAAATATTTTTTTTCTTTCTTTCTTTCTTTCTTTCTTTCTTTCTTTCTTTCTTGTCGTGGAAAATCATGAAAAAGCTTAGATAGACATATCCGATAAAGACGGATAGATTCATGACGATGATGACGATTGAACTTCTACTTAGGGTGTATCGTATTAACAATAAATAGTATCTTAATCGTGGCGCTAATTGTGCGTATTTAAGACCGTTTAATAGCATCGTTAAAGGTACGCTGATAAATTAATCTTAAGGAAGATTAAGGAAGGTAACGAGGTAGCGATCAACTTTCATCCAGATAAATCTATTTTCCGAAGGGATGAGCAAAAGTCGCGCACCCTCTATGGATTTCCGTAAAAAGAAAATTGAAGTTAATCGGTTTGACTGGCGAGTAGTAGATCCAATTATCCATGGCAAAGTATCGCGAACGGTTATTTTTGTCGTCGTGGAGAATCGAGTTACGAATGGAGGAAAAATTTTTCATTAACGCCGTTCCCTAGAAATGCCAGGGAGAGGGGAGGGCATCGACGAAGTCAAGATATATAGAATATCGAATTACTTGCACATCCTTTGACGTTACTCGGCCACTTTAATCCCATTGACTTGGAGAGAGAGACTCTCAAAGAAGCGTCATGAATTGTAAGAGCATGCGAAGAAGGCGTACCGTTTCGGGATCAAGCGCTCCATTGCGGCTGCTCGCTTTCTGAATTATTTACGTAAAAAATAAATTTACCAGTTCTTCCTCCATCTCGATACATCTCGTTTCTACTACCATTTTTCCGATGAATTATCCCCGGATTACTTTCTCGGATCCGTTTAATAATTCTCTTGAAGGGAAAGGTGCACAGAGATCTTGTGCAACATTTAAAAGAAGGTAGAAAAAGATTGGAAGATAGTTTCGAAAATATTATTATCCCTATTAAATCGTCCATCTTCGTTTCGCAAATTCAAATATTCGAATTTTATTTTTTGGATTAGAAATAAAGAAATATACGCGATTCATCGTAGTTTTAAAAAATATATATATACACACACACACAGAGTTCTGCTACTTCTGTGATATTTCAATAATTCTCTCGTTTCTATCGTTGAACTAGCGTAATCGATTCCATTCGGATATCTGCAAAACCACCGCTTCTATTCCATATACGCGATCTTGTCCCGGTTATTTGCTTGAACGCTTGAACAATGCGATGGAATAAGTATCGCGATAAAATATAAAATTTCTTTATCGATCTTTCCTTCGATATTTCCGCAAAGCACTTTGCGTGTATATATATGAAACATTCGCTCTGAAATTCAAATGAAAACTTCCGGTGTACCGGCATTCAGTTACGTGGGATGGCGCCTCGTTACCCTCTCCTATCGATAATTCCTATTAATATCTAACTTACGTATCTAATGGTCGTTGGTCGAATTTCTAGGTACTTTCTCCATCCGCCGTCGCTTTGGTGGAATATAGAGGGAGAATTTAGAAGAGATAGGGAGAAAGAGAGAGAGAGAGAGGAACACGCGTGAAATACTGTGTCGGAGTGTGCACTATTGCAGGAAAGTTTGGCTGTTTCGTGCGAGTATTAGAAACCACGAGAACGGAAGTAGGAGCCCGGCGGCCCAGTGGCTCACGTCACATCCGGAAGAGACGTATCCGGCGTCACGTTGCATGGCTTCCGTACGTTCCCCTGCAACAGAAATAAAACGTTCTTTCTCAGTTTAAATCCTTGGTCGGTTTTTTGCGCATATCACAGATAGATTTTTAGATTATGCTCTCTTCTTTCTTTCTCTAGGAAGGAGGAGAAGAGGAAAAAGAGAAAAAGGTACATAGACGGTATTAGCCGGCACGAAAGAGTAATGAAACTGGCCACTCGTAAATCAACGTCTCGCGGAGAGACTATCGGATTATTGGTTTTTTCTACGTCACCGAACCCCGTGGAATGAAGCTAACGTCTTCATTAATTACCGCGCTCTTTAGCCATCGGTTCGATTGCTTCTTTACCCTCGAATACGCGATGGAAATAACACGCGTTATATAATTATTCGTCGAGGTTGCTCGACCGTGTACGCTTTGCTCTCGAGGTAAAAAAAAAAAAAAAGGAAAATCTTTTTTATTTTTTTCGCGCGTACATTCGATCGAAGAAATCTCTCTCGAGTGTTGGAGCGGGGAAATTCGAAGATCTGTGACAGGCAATAAAGATGTTACGTACGTACGTACGTACGTATTCCGTAACGCAAATTCAAGGAACGTGCCGCGAGCAGATGGCGCGATGGTACGCGTGCTCAGCTGTGCTTACAAGAACGTAGCTTGACGTTGCCAAAATGTATTTCATAAGACGTCGAGTTCCATGTGCGATGAGGATTCCCGAGGTTTAACGTCGCGATATTAAATTATCACGAGAGGATATCTCGCCACCGCGAAACGATTTAGAAGGAAAATTGTCCTATTTGAATGTAAACGAACGAAGCGTGGGAGTTTCGGGAGTCGAAAGGAATAGGAGGAAAGGATGATTAAACGGGAAATTTTGCAACTCGACGAGAGAATCTTCGTTATTGGTATTTAGACGATCTGTTTAGACGAGGTTCGACTAAAGAAAGTTGGTTGGTTTCAACGACGTAGAAGAATTCGATTATGGCTGTTGGCTTGTTGGAGTTAAGGCAATGGTGGCCGTCTCTTAACAACGGCTCTTTACGATCGCGGGACAAGATGTTGATACTTTTTTCACTCGGGAACAGGGTACTCTTTTTTAATGGTTCTCTTACGATTATACGGATCCGATGTTGCAATGGTGGAAATAGAAGCATTTCGTGATGCTTGGAACGAGGTTACGTACATTGGAAACTAATAAATTTCGGTGTTCTTCCTCTCTTTTTCTCTTGAGTTCTTCAGTTTCGTGAACGAGATTCTCCGAAGTTCATTCGGATGTTGGAAATTTCTTGGATTCGATTTTCTTAGATGTTCTTAGTTCTTTTATGATGTTATTTTCGATATTTTTACGTCCTCCGTTGAATTATTTAACGGGACAGTTACAGAAGGAGTGTCTCCAGTCGATGAGGCGACTTTCGATCTTCCAATTATATTAGATTATCGTCAGAGGACAGCAATTCCTTTCCAAGATCGACCATGATTAATCGCGTATCGATCGCATAGTATCGGTGCTAATTCCTAAAGTCGTATTACATACCTCGTACACATAGCATCCGGCCATTCACTATTATAGATATCCGCATGAAATTCATATCGCTGGAGGGATGATTAATTCGGTCAATAGGGAGCCGGCTTTTGATATCGAATCGCTAAAATCTTCAAACCGATGTCCCATATTTCAATTTATATCGTCCAATCCGACGATTAAATTGTCTCTCTGAAGAGAAAGCATCGTAGGATAAAATAAAAATCGACAATTTTAGCAATCTTACCGTAAACCATTCGAGGATCGACACCCACGAATTATTGTGCACGCTCGAGTAACGAGTACAGCACAACTGAAAGAAATTCCTTCGTTGATCCAAAGATGGAAGAAGATTCAAGGGGGATAAGGAGGAAATACGATACAAATCTTTGTCAACGCGATTCGGTTCACGGTTCGATGGAAACGTCCCGAGTACAAGAGCCTATGGCTCGTGGTTTACGCAATTTCCTCGATATTCGAGCAGTCTGTTCTACTTGGCACCCCATGCCCAGAAGATCAGAACGGATTCCGGACATCAGCGTCCGATCCGCTCCTCGTCCTTTGTCGAGGATAGGTATCAAGGATGGTTAATTGGTTGGCCGGATAGGGTACAGGGCCAATTGACCGTTTAATTAGAGTAGCGCAGGGTATCGATGGGATTTTCGGTTGCTCGGCCATTAATCGATGATCTCCGTTCATTCGACACTGGCTCTCGTCGAATCTTGATCGTTGAGAATTTCTATTCGGGTCGAAGGAGAGAGAAAACTTGCATCTCTCTCTCTCTCTTTTTCGTGCATTCGCTCGAACACGAACAATTTCATTTCGAGCTAAATTCTCCCTTTTCCCCTTTTTCTTTCTCCTCGCAGTAAACGTAAACGTCTTTGCTCGTCTTTGTCAAAGTTGGCGTGCGATTTACAAAAGTAGTAAAGACAGTAGTAGTAATAAGTTTCAGTCGTTATTTTCTATCCCCCCTCCCCGTAGAGATCCCGATGCACCGATATGTGTCGTCTCGACATGAAGATTCATGGGCGACTTCGAGATTTTTTTAAATATATATATATATATAGCGCGCTTGGTGCAACATGGCGCTAAAGTTAGCAGGGAGTTTAATACCTAACGACTCCCCAAGCTACCGTTTATACGGCTCCAAATTTCATCTCTTCCTCTTTCTTTTCCTCTTTCCCTTATCCCCTCCTGTTCCTCACCTTTAACCTCGTCTTCCTACGATATTATTAAATTTCCTCGGTGAATTGAAGCAGGAAAATTCATTTTCTGTCCTTGTGTTATTAAAAAAAAAGGAAAAAAGTGGAGGAAAGGGAGGAAAAGCGCGTGCCAAGCCTATCTCTCGCGACAAGGAGGATCGGATTAAAAAAATCCAATCGAACGTATATTCGGGATTTCATTAATTGAGGTTGAAAGAAGTTTGAAATCGTTAATAAACGAAATGAATTATTTATATTCCCCGGAAATTTCTAGAGGCGGCAATTATCTTCTGGCTTCGAAATTTTCTCATTGGAGGAGAGGAAATGTAAATGTTGCGAAGCTGAAACAACCCTCCCCCTTCCCCATTTTGCGCGCTCTCGCAATCGCGAAAGTGTTCGCCTCCCAAGTTTGAATATCGATCGGTTTAATCACTTCTAAAACATTTCGAAAGTACGAAGGCGAGTATCGCTCGAAGAAGGGAGGGGATCGACTTCTGGAACGCGTAGGATACGGGACAATTTCCAAGAGTTTCTCCGACCTGTACCAGTCGGAGTGGCACTTGCTCAACTTTTCGCGCTTGTAGATCATTTGTGATTCTGTAGTCGTAACGCGAACTCCGCTGCTGACAATAGACAGCAGACTTTCGCATTAACAAATCGATTTTGCCGAGTTGAGGGAAAAGTTGAATCGGTTTGATCGGTTCTCTCTCTCTGAGAACACCGACTCTTTGAATCGACTCCGAGAAATCGATGGACGATTGAAAGAAGAAGAAGAAGAAAAGAGGTAGAAAAAAATTGGGAATATCGTTGAAGAGAAATTAACAGGGGATCGATGATATTTATTTCCACGCGGAAAACGATGAGTAAAATCGATGGACGAATTAGCGGTGTAATGGTCGCACGATAATTGGAAGCGATAAACCTTCCCCTTGTTCCCCGCGGAGGATCGTTGGAACAACTAGCACAGATTTGCTGCCCTTAATAATTTTCTTTAATCACTGCATTCTATATTTAATTCGTGGCGTCTGATAGCAGCGGCAGCGTGATCTACAGTTCTTTGGTAAGCTCGGTAGGCTAGCTTAGCGGACCACTTATGGCTGATTTATACGATCCATTACCACCAGCGACCCAATAAGCTCGTCCGCGCCAGCCTCTGGCGAACCGGATCGTCGACGCTCTTAAAGGCTCGCAAGGCCCTACGTCGTTGGCCTTAAACCGTCCTCGTGCGCGGATCTTATTAAGGTCAATGACGGTACTCCATCCCGTGACGTCAGGATCAATTATTAGAAATTATCGACGCGAGCGTTATCGAGCCTTGATTCCATCCGTGATTTTCCACGAGTAAAGTATCGAATGAACCTTGGACGCAACGCGAGTGTCTTATTGTCACTCGCTATATATGTCACGATCAACTATTTTAGTTCAGTACATTTTTTCTTCGTGTTAGACAGGGAGAAAAAGTATTCTCCTCGAATATATATAGCTTTCGATTACGATTTTTCAAGTGCAATTCGTTTTCATCGGAAACGAAACTGTTCGTAACCGTTAATAACGCGACAACGGTAAAAGCGCATCGGCTTGGCGAGTCGCGAGTATTTTAAAATCCCTTCTCGCGAGACAAGTTGAAAGCGGCGAAGAGATTCCGGAAGATTAGCCGAGAAAACGGGGGAAATTCGGTGGTTCCCCAAGATCGAAAATCAACAATCAAGATCGAACAAAGAGGGTCGGAAGGGGGTGGATAGTTCTCTTGGAGGATGGTACTCGAGGGCAGAAATGGAAGTCGTCGTGTCGCAAGAATGAAGTCGAAAAGCGGAAACGGGACGAGGGGAAAAAATGAGCGGAGGAACGACGAGTGGAAGAACGATGAAAAGTTTAGGGCGGACCTGGTTCGAGTGCCCTTCGAGCTAGATTACGTTACGAAGATATCGAGAATAGAGCTCGAGACGAAGGGGTGGACTCTGGATGATGTGCAATTAGGAAAATTGAATTCCGGCGTAATTAACTTTCTTAATTAATAGAATCGTGGAATTGTATCTTTAATCTGGCCGCTGGAAGTGGTTCTGGCAGCTTCTGTCATCGAACGAGAGAAAGAGAGAGGAGAGAGTGTGGCTTGGCTCCGACTTGGGATGAAACCAAGAACTGACGAGGAAGGAATGGAAGGAGATACACAAAGAGAGAGAGAGAGAGAGAGAGAGAGAAGGAAGATTGACGAATGAGAACGAAACGGTGGGAAGAGGAAGAAGCAAGATATAAGATAGGATTGTTGCAGAAGTGGCGACGATTGCGAGATACTCTGGGATGGGAAGTCGCTGTAAGTTTTGATATATGCGCGACGTTATTTACGATCGCATAAGAATTAGCCCAGACAGCAAGCCGGTCTTCCAGCAAAAACCGACTTTATGTCACTGACTGCCACTGCGATTTTTGCTCTCCTTTTTTCCCTTCCGGAAAAGTCGTTAAATCTCGCGTCCCGACGCATTCGACGAAATCAAATCAGCCAAATCAACTTTTTTCTTCTGTGTCCGAAATTGTATCGATGGGAATTCGACCAAAGCTAATCTCTTCTCCCCTGAATTATTCCGTCTTCCGATGGAAATATCCGTCTCTCGCACTTTTCCAACGAAGGAAACCGCGATAAAACGCTGTATTTCCCGTAAACATTCGTCTCGGTTCAGAGATTCGATTTGGAGATTGGACGGCGGCCGTGACTGGATTGTCAACGAATCGTTGCGATCGCGTGAAAAATTAACGGGGGATCGTTTCGGGGGGAACGTGGCGGGGCGGCTACGTTCGTTAGAAGGCCGATGGAAAGTCATTTTTCTCCCTCCATCCTTTACCGGAAACGGCAGATTAATTAATCACGTCAGCGCCGATTTCGCTCGACCACCGGATCGATTAATAAAACCGTGGCAACCGTTCGTTATTTAAGTTAACTTTGGCGGGCGGCGGTTAATTACGGCGGATCGTCGAATTCCGCATATTTTCAACGTCCACAGGAATATGGCGTGAATGCGCCCACCCGCAAGTTTGCACGCGCGGCGCAACGTTAAAATTCGTTTCGATGGCCGCCTTTAATCCCGATCGCCGATGGAGGATGGTCGGTCTGAATTCGCGATGAGACGCGTAAATTCATAATCTGTAAAATGATACAGCGATTCGGCCAACTTCTGATTTATGATCCCGACCCAGAATGCATTTTACCCTCCCACCGGAGGGGGAGGGTAATGATGATGCACCGTCGTCGATTCTGACAGTTGGAAAATATTATCGAAGATGTATCGCCCGTTCTCTGTTTATCGATCGAAAGGAAAACAATCAATTCTCGCCGTTCGTTTCCCGTTAACCTCTCGCGTTTAACCTCTCGTAGAATTATAAATAAAGCGTACGAGCGAAAGTCGTGTACCGTGTAATCAGTGTGTCGTGGAACGTCGAAGCGAGCGGAAAGTGGGAAAGTAAACACAGCGAGGAATGACGCTGCGTAGTAATATTCATAGAATTTTTTGGAATTTCGCAGCGAACGATAACAAATCCATCGTATTTTCGTATTGTTTTCGCATCGGTAAGTCCGTTTGCACGATTTTATAAATTAATCAAACGCTTTTGCGAATCGCGTAATAATTGTTTTCTTGCGAGTCGAGTGTTTACGTGTCTCGTTATCCGACCTCGAGCCGGAGAATTTTATTCGAGAATCGACGCAACGCGTCTCAAAACGCGCCGCGTTTCCGATTATTATTTATATCGGATGATATTTGCCTCGATGAGAGCTCGTAAAAATCATCTCGAAACACCGTGACCGTTTAATTCCACTCGGGCGGTAATTCTTTTCGAAAGCAGCTACCACTCGACCCATCGTATACCCATAAACCGTGTGAACTCTGGTTATTTGAAAAATATCGTGCATCGTGAATCGTCGAAATGCTGCTGATTTATCAACGCGTGATCGATAACGTGTGTGCAATTTGTACAAGAGGCGGGGAATATTGGCCGGTGTAATATGAACGGCGCGGAGATCTCGTTCGTTTTTCATTTAGTAACGAAACGAGTTATTATCTCCATATTTTGTACGGCAATTGACCGATTTGTTCCGCGCTTTTTTTTCTTTTTTTTCTTCCACCGAGTTTGAAAAGTAAACACGTTTCAACGAAAACTCTTAAACCCGTTCGACGCACGTCCATCCAGACGGTAAAAAACAGAGGGGACGAGGGGACGATGGAGAGGAAGAAGCCGGTGGAAACCTATAAACCGCGCAATAATATAAATTCGCAATCTGTGAAACTACGAAACGAGGCGGGCTAAAGTTGTGATTTACGACGCGTTCCGTCTCGTCCCCGGGAACACCGGGGACAAAGGGAAAGCAGCAGTAGCTCGGATTGTTACGTGTGTACGTGGCGTGGGAGCGTCGTGAGTGGTGGGCGTCGTCGGGGTCGGTCAGGAAAAATGCGACGTCGCGCGGGCCGCCGCTTCCTTGCAATAACTTCCGAAGGAAAATTCACGATAATAGAGACTACTGCCGCCTGTGTGAATTTCGCATGCAAGTGTGCTTACGCCACTCCTCCTCGACCGCCCTTCTTCTCGCCAAAACCCTCTTCTCCTCCACCCTTTATTCTTTTCCCTCCTCGTTTCTTTTTTCCTCTGCCAACGAGATCTCTCCTCCTTCTCTCCTCTCGTGCCAACCCCTCGTTTCCTTCTCCGTTTCTCACGGAGCCCCGTCTTCCTCCTGGATTTTCCCCTCTTCCTCTCCCTTCTCGCCCTCGTCGTAGACCCAAACGACGTCCGCGGCGGACCAAGAGAGGCTGAGCTAGACAAATAGTCGCACCGTGAAATACCGCCGCCTCCTTAAAACTTTAAAGTGTTTCGAGTAATCCTGAGGCGCGACTTTAGATCATGGGGGGATACTCCCATTCTCCCTCCTTTTCCTCCACGACCTTCTTCTTCCTTGCTGCCTTTTTCTTCTCTCTCCTCTCTTCTTCTCTTTACTTCTTTCTCTCCATGGCGTTATACATGGCGTGCACGAAGACGTTACCGCGAATATCGAATACAAATGGCCGCGTCCGTAATGCTCTCTCTCTCTCTCTCTCTCTCTCTCTCTCTCTCTCTCTCTCTCTCTCTCTCTCTCCCCCTCTTTCTCGATTCTCGATCCCTCTTTCTCAATGAGGAGGAGATCCGTTTAGGGAGGGGAAGGCTCTTGTTCCGCGGTTTGATCGCGGTTGGAACGACGATTTAGGGTTAGGTTTTATAGCTGCAATTTGCACTGAACGTTACCCATTACGTTTGTACGACTATATACACTTGGATCGTATTTTTCCGCCGCTCGTTTTTCCCGCACTCGGATGAGTCCTTCGTCGTCGTCGAGTCCGTTGAAAACGTATCATTCTCGCGTTGAAATCGCGGTGAAATCGAAGATTCGCGGTGGCGAAAATTAAAAATTTATACGCGAAGTTGTAATTGTAATTAGAATGGAGAGGGGAGAGGGAGAGGAATGGGTGAATATAAAAAGAGATGGAAGAGGGAGGAGGGGAGAAGGATGAAAAGGTTGGAAACGCTAGAAATATAAAAATTTTGGATTGGTTTTTTTTTTCTCTTTTTTTCTTTTTTTTTAAGAGTAAATTCAACGCTAACCTGGCTCGACGATCAACATCACTGTGTCCGTTCGCCCCTCGGTCGGTCTGCACGAATATTTCCCGACATCGTGCGGCGTGACCGCTGCCAGAGTCAATTCCGACACTGTTCGAGCCGCGCCTCTTTCGGTCTCCACGTTTATTCCCCCTCGTGCAGCCTGGAAACAGTGCAAACAGGGCAAATGCGACGTGAAATTCGGCGCATAAACGCAAAGAGAAACATTGGACGAAACGAATCTTTCTCTTTCCATTTTTTTTCCCTCCTCTCCTCTTTCTCCTTTTCCTCTCTCTCTCTCTCTCTCTCTCTCTCCCTATAGTAACACCTGGCGAAATAACCGGTTACCTGGTTACACCAACATTCGTGAATATATCCCCACATATGCCCGTATTTACGATTAATACCGTTTTATCTGTAAAAACACACATTATACAGCAAACACGGTATCCACTGGTTGTTGACCGTGCGAATATTATTACGATCGAAAAATACGGCGAATGCGGAAAATTAAATAAATCTCCTCCCACCGTTCGCTCGAACCCGGATTGTAATTTCGTATAATAAATCTGGCAAGATGAATCTGGCTCATGGCTTCTACGTATAAATTTTCAACAGTTCGTCTATCATTTCGTTCGCGATGCGATACCGCCCCCTCTTCAATTTTTCATCCCACGATCGATTTAAACGATCGATGGATCGCTTCCATCCGTAATTACATCCGTAAAAAAAAGATCTCGAATTTCATCGTAAACGAGAAACTCGCGTTCGCTGTTCTTCTATGCGATATTTTCCACGGTGAAAGGATTCGATTCTTTTTTCTTTTTTTTTTTTTTATTTTTATTCAAATAACGATTTTTTTCTCTTTCTTTTTTTTGATACCTCGATTTCATTAATACCTCTCCACAGGGCAGAAAGTGAAATTCGATACGCGCAAAGAAAAATCTTGGAAAGTATCTTGGGGAAGGGGGTTGAATACGACGAACGGTTGTCATCCCGGCATCGACACGATGATTTATGATCGTGTTTCTTTCGTTGGAGAGATTCTCGAGAGTTGGCGGTGGACGGGCGGAAGAGGGAGGAGGGCTCGGTGTAAAAAATTTCATTAGAGTCTGTCTCGCGAGAAGACGCCGAGCTGTGCATTACCTGGAATGTTAGGAGTTTGTTATCCCGGAGCCATTGCACGCCCCTGATGGGCCGAGTCTGATACGGGGACAATATGACGCACCTCAAGGTGATGGTCGACCCCGATGCCACACTCTGCTCCCGTGGACCCATTATCGCAGCCACTGGTGCCGTGCTCTCGTAACCTGAAATCCATGCACGAACGAAATATCGAATGTACTTGGGTAAGAATTCAATTGTCTTTAAAATGATAGGATGTGCGTATGTGGTTTCGAGATATGCAAGATTCGTTGAATTTATCACGCTATCTTCGAATACTCTTTATAGTTTATTTTTTCGTGAAAAAGAATTTCACGAAAAGAGTAAAAAAAAGATGGTGTAATAAAAAAATTGAAACGGTATAGAAGGCGGAATAATTCTTTCCCATCTGTCGTTAATTGTCTCTTAAAACTTAATAGAGATTACGTAGCGTGATATTTCAACGAATATTTTGTGGAATATAATTTTTAATCAGAGTCGTTAATCCTTCGAAGAATTTTTCTTATCAAAGTTAACCCGTTTCGCATATAGACCGATTAATGCGTTCTATATATATTTAAAAGTGCGCTTCTTGCGCGCGTTCGTTTGAATAAAGATACCGCACGTTTAAAACAATGTTAAACAGCTTATGGCCCCGGAGATCCGAGAAGAAAGTAATTACGCGAAGGGTCGGAACTTGTGGTAAAAAGGACGGAACGTGTTTTATGCCTGCCCGGCCTGCCTGGAAAAGTAGATTCATTAAAAACCGTGCGGTACGACGAAGCCAAGATTTACGGAAGTATGTGACCGACTATAAACCGAAAACTTTACCTAACAACCATTAATGACTCTCCCCAAGCCAAGCCTTTTTTTTATTTATCGATTAACGATCGTTCATCGAAAATAAATAAATACCGAAGATAATATTGCGAAATCATCGCGATATTCTTCGATAACTTTTTCGAATCGAATTAATCTCGTTTGTGCATCGATCCGTAATTCGTTCTTCGTTTCTCCATTGGGATTAAATCCAGCGCGTCAAAAAAAAGAATTCCTTGTCATTCCTCCTCTTTAATACGCGCCATTAAAGATTCGAGACGAATCTGTAGAACGATGATTTTAATTAATGCGAATAATGTTTTTTTTTCTTTTTCCTTTTTTTTTTTTTTTTTGTCTCTCGCATCTTGCATACGCGCCGCTTTACAAAGTAAAACTGCGCACGGTGAAAAAGAAAGGCGTAACACGCTTTTCCGTCCCGGACGCATGTACTGTCAAGTTTGTACATTTTAGAGAGTCGGCACAAGTGGCCGTTTAATATGCGTGCCACCGTGAAACGACGTGTTTTTCTCGCGCCATGCGAGCCTGTTCGCCCCAATTCCCGCTTAAAATCGAACCACGCGACCGACCCCGCCGCGAAAAATCGATTCGAAAAATAAACCGTGTATACGCGCCCTCTTCAAAACCGGTTTCGATTTAAAAATACAATTTTCAGAAGCTCCGTTCAATCTTTCTCTTTCGAGAATTCTCTTTCGAGAATTGTAGACTCAACATTATTATATTTCATTTCGAGTAATCTGCAAAAATTCTTCTTGTATTCGAGATTTAATTCCATATCAAAATCACTCTATCCCCTAGTATATTATAAAGTATATATATAAAAAGTATCTTTGGAGGATCGATTTTAAGAGGCCAAGAAACAAAAAATAAAGATACAGGTCGAAGGTTTATTTATTGCGAATAATTTAAATTAAACGATGCTATATTTTCCCTACCAACTTTCCTTCGTATTTATTTTCCCCTCCAGAATCGATGTTCCGAATGGGTATATCCCAACAAAGGGATATCCACCAACACGATTCGTAATAAGGTTTGAAGAATAAGGTAACGAGGTGTGGGGAAGAGGGGAAGATGGCGAAGAGGAGAGAGAGCGTTCGTTCTCGCCTTCGGGTAGCTGAATATCCTCAGTCCGGAAATTGGAGTTTGAAGTGTGAAGAAACAAGGGAGAGCCCGTCTAGTGCGCGGTACAACAGAGCCGGCCTAATAATTCATTACACGGGCGAAAGGGAAAAACAATGGGAGGCTCGTAAGGGGTTTGCCACCCATGGTGTGCACGATAATGTCCGGGACAAGCATACATTATTCAACGAAAGAGAAAGAGAGAGGGGTGGGGGGGAGAGAATCGCGATAGTTGAGACTCATTTAAACGCCACGTTCCCTTGCTGAGGAGTCCATGGAAGCGCGGTTATGGCCGCGCCAGGTGACGAGGAAAAAGACCCAGAGGAGAGGCAGAGGAGGTTTTCCACGACTACCAGGATTAAGGATAATCCTATTAGACTTGAATTAATCCCCTGGGAACTGCATTTCTCCTCGACGAAATATTAGGTTATGCAGTTATTACTGTACACGGCCGTGGCCAAAAGCCTGTTTTTCCTTGCCGCTTTCTCGTGCTTTCTTTGCGCCCCCATTCTTCGCCAAGGGGAATTACTTCGATTATAATTGTCACTGATCCTCGCGATCTTTATTTATCATTGGGCGGCTCGGTCGATGGACGCTCGAGAAAGATTTAAAGGGTTAAAGTTGTTGCTTAAACGTTGGATTTTGTTCTTTATGTAGAATTTGTAAGGGAAGTTTTCGATTCTTCGTTCCGAAGTGTGTCTTGGTTCGCGCAATTTTCAAAGAGGATTAATTGATTTTTCGAGGGAGGGAAGGGGATGTTGAAATCGATCCTCGTTTCCGACGCTTGTTTCTTTCGCTGCTCTTACACATTTGACCTCGAAGTCGATAGCAATTTCGCGATCCGAGAACGGATCGACGAGGATGAATTTCAGGCCGAGAGCAATAAAGAAAAAGATGCCAGAAATCTCGCGTCCCGGAGGATGAAATGATGGAACTTGGAAAGAATTATGAAGCGTCTAGGAGGATGGCGCAAGAAGAATCGACGACAGATCCCGGGCGTCAAAGCCAGCGAAGAAGCGCACTTATCTTTAAGTGATTGATGTCGACTGGATCCGTTCGAGGAATAAAAAGCGCCTGTCGGATGATTTTTTAACGGGCCAACGGGTGTATAAAGGTGTCACGACATTCCTCCTCGCGAGAAGAAGAATATATCAAGTTCATCGGCGCATTTAAGGGAGGAAAATGGACCGGTATTCGGAAAATTTATCAACTCTTATTCTAATTTATTAACTTTTATCTTGTGATAAAAAAAGAAATCTCGATTCGTCCATCTCCGTATCGATGTTAATCGATATAATAATGACGATGAAAATTGAGATTGAAGCATCGTATAAATGTAATTTTCAATGGGTGAAATGCGAAAATTATAGCGACAAAGTTTCATGCGATATATATTGGCGAGATTTTCGTGCGGATTATCGTGGAAACGGGCGAAATATCTACTAATTTTCTCGTTTAAAAGTTTGCAATCGCATAACTGTACGAGCGTACGTACATTCCTCTATTGCTCTCGAATACCTTCGTACAATTTGTACCTGAAAAATTCGCAAGCTTATTATGGGGATAGAGGACGGGGAACGCGATTTAAATATAAAGGGAATGAAAAGTCGAGTCTATTACCTCACGGGTGAAAGGGACACAATGAAGAGTAATTGTATCTGTAAGAAATTGAAAATCCTCTTTGGAAAGTTTCCGCTTGGTGAAAATTGTATTTTCTCAAATCCGAAGAGAGAGTGGGTGGATCGATCGAGGTAAAATTTACGAATTTCTATCGGAAAAATCTTTGCGTCGTCCAAAGACGAACGAGAATTTTTCCAACGGAATTTTATCCCGTTCTAATTCGACCGTTCGTGCTATTGATTCGAATTAAAAAAAAAAAAAAAATAAAATAAAAAAAAAAGAAAACGAGAGAACGCGGAGATTAATTTCGCACAAATGGATTGACACGGGGAAAACTTCCAATGAAGTTTTCATTGCATCGTCGACATATGTACATCTGTCATACCGAATCGGAGAAATATGCAATAAAAGCGCGCGCGCGACCCATGGCCGACGATTTATCGCCGGGATTTTGATTAAAAATATTTTTTAATCATCCCTGACGTTGATATAAAAACATGGAGTATTTATTCGCCCCTCGCCCGTGACATTGCTTTCCGGCTTCATTTAAATTTAATTTGACAAATGCCGATGTGAAATTAGACTGGCCGGCGGTCTTTAAATTTATCCACGTGTATTCTATTCGAATCCCTCGACACAATGCAGGGAGACGACACATCCCTGAGATGGAAACCCGTGGAACTAATGGTACGTGCACAAGCGTTGTAACTATCCGACCGAAAATAAACCTTCGTTTTCACGATGCTTCGCTTACTTATTCGCGTCTGCTGAGAATGCGGCTCGTCGTAGCCCTCCGGTTTGTCAGGATCTGGAAAAAGAAACAATGGATATATATATAAGTAGTATTTTGTCACACACACACACACACGGTCGAATTTCGTAACCGGATAAATAACGTCGAAAGCCGAGGATTTTATGCAATGCGTGCTCGTTCCTTTTTTCCCCCCCGTACTCTCGTTACATTCGTATTTCCAAGCATTACCATATAATTAAAAATCGCAGTCGGAGGGAGGGGAAGGAGGAGGAGGAGGAGGAGAAGGAGGATCGAGCACGGGAAAATATTCAACGAGGTTAGCGGTCGGTCAAGCTATTAAACGAAGCTCCGGTTTAAGGACAATTCAATTTAGCGGGTGGATTTAAATAAAGAAGAGAGAGAGAGAGAGAGAGAGAGAGAGAGAGAGAGAGAGAGAGAGAGAGAGAAAGAGAATGGGAGGAACTGCAATTACCTCGCACGGACAGCTGAACAGCATACATCATTTTGGGCTCGGTGTTCACCTGGCATTCGTACTTGCCCGAATCCGTCTTCCTCGCGTTGTCCAGCCTGAGCGTCCACGCGTCGCTACCCGGTGTGTGCAGAGGTCCGAATCTCGCGTCCGAGCTGAACAGGGTGTTTCCTGACGTGAGAATGTGAAGGTCCCTGCTTCTCATCCAGGACACCTGAAACAAGGCCAGCCAGCACGTTGAAATTACATCCTGATGGAATTACCGTCGCATTAAACGACGGAATTGCCTCGAGGATGATTCTTAATTACTTTGCGCCGGGAACATTTAAAAGGATTTATAAAATGATTTAAAATCAACTTCGAGCTGGTTTCGAAAATTATTATAAATTCATTTCTCTTTCTCTCTCTCTCTCTCTCGGCTTTTTCTTTCAAAGTCAAAGAGTTCATTTTCAAAAATACTTTTTTAATTGTTTTCGTTCGTAAGTACAATTTCAATGGAAACGCGACAAATTACGCGAGAATTTGTCAACGCGTCATTTGGGGTGGTTCGACGGGGTAAGCGGGTACGAGCGCGGTCTCTAAGCCCTTTTAAAACGGTAGCCCGAAGGAATGCACACTCGCGCTCGCGTAAATCAGCGCTCTCTTACGACTTATTTCCTTGCCGCCTAGCTACTTCACACCCGTGTTACGAGCGACGTAATACATAACATAGTAACGTGTTACGACGTCGTTACCTTATGGCCGAGATAAAGGATAGAGACTGTTAAAAGAAAGTTGGGAACGAAAGGGGGTGCGATATAAGGAGGAATTTAATGGAGCGACGCGTGAAAATTTCTTTCGTTTTGAAGGGGAGAAAGGAATTGGAATACATCCTCGTAACAAATTGTATCCTTGTATCAAAGAGGATTGCCCCGATTATCAAGTTTATGCGCGTATAATTTTATTAACCTCGTCCTGTTTTTAACTATTTTTATCGTGGCCAGCGACAATAACTCGGGAGGTAATTCAAACGCCAGTCCAACTTAATATACGATACGATTACTCTTTTCTTGCCGGTGGGAATAAAATGGCGATTTTCTTGTCGCTGGAAAAGTACCATTAATAAAACGCAGCAATGAACCGGTTCTCTGTTCCACGGCCATCTTTGACATATCTTATTGCTCCGGGCTAAATAATTAATCCTCGACCCCTTTCCACTCCACACACACACACACACATACACGATTCTGGTTGGGGAGGAAGGGGACGAGTAATGGGAGTTTACTGATTACTCAAATTCACGAGTTTCCTCGACTCGCGAACTATTTCCTACGCTTTCCATGGTTCATCAATTCTTATGATGAGTTTTCTTTCTACCATCGAATGCATGCAGGACGAACAATTTCATCCAAACGAGGATCTCGTTCTTCGTTTCCTTCCCCTTCTTTTCCAAAAATTGAAAGACTTCGATTTAATCCTCGAATCGTTAAAAAAAAAAAGAAAAGAACTAGACTAATTGACAAACAACAAACAATTCCTTAATAACAATGTATCCCATTGAAGCAAGACAACGACGTTTCGAAAAAAAAAGAAAAAGAAATAGAAGGAAGATAGAAGAGCAGAGGTATATGTAATTCCTTCTGATTATCCATTCTCTTTCGAAAGTCTGTCTCGTTCGTCTTGTTATGAGCAAAAGTTTGCAAAAGCGACCCTCTTGCTCGAGTGGCGGGCGTAACACCGGGAGGATGCTCGAGAAAGGGATGCGCCGCGCTTTTCCCCGTCGCGATTAATATTTTCTCGCGATCTTGAAGAGATGGAAGAACCATTTTGAAGAACGAACCGATGGGGAGCGAAGGACAACGACGACGTTGACGTCGAATATGGTCACTGAACACCGCCCTTATCCGATGCTCGTATTTTTCAACGTTCGACCCGTTCGCAAACGGGTGGGATATTAGATATCCGGTTATCGGGTTGCAGTCATTTCCGATCTGCATCCAGAGTTACCATTTTACCTATCGATCGGTACACGAGAGAGAGAGAGAGAGAGAAAGAGAGAGACACGAGTGGCAAAAAAACAAGGACGGGATGAACGATCGAATCGAATGATTTGTTTGGGACAAAAAGGGGGGGCGGCGGAGAAGAAGAATGAAATCGAAATGGCGGAAAAGACGAAGAATCTAAATTGCGATCGATTCCGCCCCCTCTCTCCCCCACCCCTTCCCGATTTTTAATAATGTCGTAGAATCGAGGGAGGGGGGAGGAAGCGAGATCGGGAAGTCGCTCGACGATGTTTTCGTTGCGAAACCGGAAAGGGGAGAGGGGGGATGCAATAATCCGGCAGTGACAAAAAGAGATACCAATCCCCTGCCTCGGATACCGATTCACCCATCCGTAGATTTATCGTTGTTATTAAAACAACCGTGGCGATACCGGCCATGCTCGCCGGACGGGAGTAGATATTATTCAGGGTGTGGAACAAAAGAAGCTTGGATTAATCGGTAATTAAATCGATGCCGGGCAAACCACCGATACACACGCTACCAATTTTTTTTTTTCCGCACTTTCTCCTCCCCTCCAGGATAATCCTATCCTGGATGATGGAATCGTTTTTCGTACATATTAAAATATATATACTTCTCCGCTATATATACTCCTCCGCTTTTGTTTCATCAATTTCAAGATCATGTTCGCACCTCCTCCGTTTAATTTCAATCTTGGCATAGAACGACCTCCCTCCAATCCCTTTTCGAGGAAAACAATCTTCGAAAAAATGAAAGTCGCGGGGAAGGAGGCAAGAAGAAATTTTGCTCGGCTCGGCTCGGCTCGGCTCGGCTCGAAGAGGAATCGATTGGAGGTGCGGCGAGGGGGGAGGGGGTCTGTGTGGAAATCGGGTTTGGACGTAACGAGAAGAAAATTCAGCGCCGTGTGCGGCTGATTTATACAATAATAACGTAAGCGGCACACGGGGGAGGTCGTAATGGTCCACACGGGTGGGATGCAGTTTAGCGGAGGGGGTGGGTCATAACGTTAGGGAGGGGTGGGAAGAATGTACGGCGTGGCAGGGGCCCCGGTGTATCACGGCATTTGGTCGTATGCCAGTTTACTCGAGTATACGATTCGCCGTGCGAGGATGGGGGCAGAAATAGAGAAGCGGGTTTGAGGTGGAAGGCGAGCGAAGAGGAGAGCAAAAGATGGAAAAACGGTGCGCAAGGGGGATGTGTTTGCCCGCGCGGGGAGACAAAAGGACGGGAGCAATATACGGGAGCCGACATAACCGCTTTCATCTGCTACGTCGACACCGGAACCGGATAAAAATGCAACCTCCTACCAAGTCGTTTCACCGCAACCTTACGAGCCTCGCTGCTCGTTCTACGCGCTCCTCTCTTCGAGGAGGAACTACCTTATGGCCGCCATTCGCCTCGCAACCCCCGTTTGGCCGGGGGATCGACCGTACGTACGCCACCGACACACCGATTCTTCCCTCCGCTCGAGCGTTTCTTAAATTAGACCACGTTTCCGCGTCGCCGCGAGGAAATTTCCCTCCTGCTCCCGGATCCCTTGTAAACGCCCCTTCTCTTCTCCGCGCGAAATGAATCTTTTTGAAACGAATCCGGGAGGAGGGGAAAATTCTTCTCTTCCAATTCCGGGAAGGAAGAAGAAGAAGAGGTCGAAGGAGGTTGACGCGGAAGAGAATGCGGAGATGGAGTGTTGGAGATTAACGGATTAAAGGATTGCCGGTTTTTGGGAGGAATAGTTGTGAAAAGTATCCATCGTTGTGAAATCCATCGAAAGAAGAGAAGGGTTTGGAGAGGAATGAAATCGGAAAGCGCGAGAGATTTTGCCTGTACAGGGTATATATTTGTAACAGGTGGTAGAGGAGGTAGATTCGGCCTCTGAATAGAATTTGTTGGCGGAAGACTGCTACCACGTTTTCAAGAAAGTTCGGTTTAGAGAGTTCGCCGAGTGTGAATGTAGTTAATAACCGAGTCTCTGACTTCGTCGAGAGATTGTTGACTTTGAAGTAATAATAATCTCGGAGTTCAATTCTGGCTGGCGAGACGCGAATCTGGGACAAAACGAATTTCTGCGCGCCCGATTCCGATTTATTTTCTTCGATTAAATTTCGCTCAGTCGTGTTTCGCTCTTCTCGAAACGGAAGAGGAGGGATGAGAGAAATTGAAAAAGTAACGAGGTGTTGTTAAACGCGATTCGTTTCGATGCTTTTCCACATTCTAACGCGTTCATCCCCCGATCCCTCTCCGTTGGAAACGGGCGTTGGAGGAAGGAAGTTCACGATGAATAATGTGTAACTTCCTTTTCACCCCTTGCCTAAGTGGGGAGAAACTGAAGTTGCGGATGGGGGAGGGGAAAAAAGTTGATGGGTTTCAACGATGAACCATCGAATCGTACAATCGAATCACTGTTCTTTGGCTAAATTATTTACTCTCTTTCCAACGGTGGTGAGAAGGATAAGAATTGCGCTTCCTTCCGGACCACGATACCATTATCCTCGCTTTTGAATCGAATCCGCTCGATTCCGTCACGGATTTTCGCTCTCGCCGGAACTTTTCGATGAATGGAGCTTGTCGGATGATTCTTCGAGCCGCGACTTTCCTCCGTCCGAAAACACGAACTCCGATTTTTCGTTCGTTAATTGTTCGCGATTGTCGAATAATTTTATGGAATTATTCCTCGCTTTTTACCCCTTGCCTGGATATCTCAACTTACTTTCAATCCTTTCATTCTCTCATCGAGGAATTTTATATTTCAGAACGAATTAGAATAACGATATATTTAATAATAACTTTCGAAACTCACGTACGCATAGTAATATAGCACATAGTAATATAACTGGGACACCATTTCCTCGCGTTTCCACTTTTTTTATATTTTTTTTTTATATGATCTTCTTTAAGATAAAATCAATGAGATTTATCGCGAAGCAAGACACTATTAATGTTCGAAGTACAGAGGGAGCGTAGAGAGGGAAGTCGATAATTTTTTGCGTCAACCGATACGAAAATGCTCGCCGTCCGTTTTTTAATCCGATTTCGTTTATCGAGAAAAGTCGAATATCGTTCGTGAAAAAAATTGCGTCGCCGACGCGAGAAACGACATACACAGGCCGTCTATCCGTCAAAGCGGATTACGCGGGCCGACCAGTGCTGCTCGTTCGTGATTTTTTTCCAGCTTTCGACAACCACGACGCTTTCGAAATCGTCGAAGATCGAA